AATATTTACGAAGAAAAAATATATTAAAATTTAACAAAAATAATTTATCCATAAATTTTCAACAAGTTATTTTACACGCATCACCCGATGGACTTCAACCTTAACCTCAACGTAGACCTTTGCCAAATACCAAAAAACTAAAAATAAAAAAATATTTTACCTAAAAAAAGAAAATATTTTCAAAAAAAAAATTTACATCAAAACAGACGGACCCTAATGTAAGAATATTATCACATATTCCTACTTCTTTTAACTAGAGAACCCCATGGAAAGACCCTCAAATAATTTTCTAAAAATTACTAAATGACATGTTTCTTTACTATTTTCGTTAATGAAAACTTTTTCAAGAAATTGCTTTTATCTAATTTTTTATATGGCAAAGTGCAATAAACTCCTGTCGATTAATTTTATGCCACTTCCAACTATTCAAGGGGTAACATAGTGGATGGAAGTGGATGAAAAATATTTTTTGAGACAGAGATGTCCTTATTCCTATTATATAGAACAAAGTGCATTAAATTCCCTTCTACTTTGAATTTTTCGCAAGAAACTTCCGTGAAACCAATAGGCCAGTGGCCTAGCGATATCAGGCCCTTACTTCTTATAGGGAGGTTAAAGGTTTGAGCCTCAGTGGAGGCATATGTGTGTGAGTACCAACTAAAAAAAAAAAAAAAATTTCCGTGAAGAAATAAGTGCACGTAAAACCTCTCTAACTAATCAATTTCTTGCAAAGTGATGTTAAAATGACTAAAGTGTCCCTTAATATAAATTTAATAAAATGGTGTTTCTTAATATTAAATTAAAATTAATACAAACTCATTTGGCATAGTGTTGTTATAAAAAATTTATATATTTTTTTAAATGGTGGGTCTATATAAGAAGATGAAAATACCTTGAAACAATTTTCAAAATTTTCTTATTTTTTTTTTAAATAAAAAAGAAAAGCTAAATAAAAATAAAAATTTAGAAAATTGCTTCAAGGTATTTTCATTTTAAATCCTAAAAAGAAAAGAAAAGAATAGCTAAATAAAGGTATTTTCTTTTCTATTTTTAAAAATAAAAATTTAAGGATATTTTAAAAATTGTTTCATGGTATTTTCATTTTTTTAAAAATAAAGAAAGAAAAGCTAAAAAAAGGTATTTTCTTTTTTATTTTTGAAAACAAAAATTTGAAAATTATTTCAATCTCTTTTCATTTTCTTATAGACTCACCATTTAAAAACAAAAAATCAAAATTTTTATAACAACACTATGGAAAATGTTTAACTAAAAAAAACACTATGGAAAATGACTTTGTATTAATTTTAATTTAATATTAAAGAGTACTATTTTATTAAATTTCTATAGAGGGTCACTTTAGTCATTATAACATCACTTCCAACAAATTGGATAGTTAAGGGGTTTTATGTGCACTTTTTTGTTCAAAGAGGTTTCTTGCCAAAAATTCAAAGTAGAAGGGAGTTTTGTGCAATTTTCCCTATATAATAGGAATAGGGACATTTTTGTTCATCCACCATGTACCGCTTGGATAGTTGGAGGATTTTTTTGACAAAAGATTAGTAAAGGAGAGTTTATTACAAAATGCAAATAGTGAAAGGGTCTCTATAATAATAAGTATTTATTTGACAAGAGTTTAAATATTCAACCTCTCTAAAGGCGGAGGATAACTTATATCATATAGGATGGATCTTCTTGGTCATCAATACTATAAAATTTATTTCACAGAAATTATTAATTACTTTTAGAATTAAAGTGGTTACTCAAAAACATTATTAATTAATATAGTAAATTATTAAGTTAAAAAATCAGTTATAAAACAGTTGATGGTTGGATTTTAATAAGAAATTTAGCGCCAAAACCATTTGCCTGCCACTTGAACAGGGAGTGGACCAGTAAGAAATACTAAAACTTTAGAAAATCAAAATAAAATGACCGTTGAGGACAAATAGGTCATTTAAATTGCCATCAGCCCATAGAATGAATACCCATAATTACATTCGATCGAATCAACCATTCTCAAATCAAAACTTAACACAGGAACGAGCTCCACGAGGGCGTCAAACGTAAGTTGACGTTTTTACCCATAGACCCATCCAAAACACCACCTGTCAAACCATGATGTCTCACGTTAACGCACTCATAACCCATGAGACTGACCCAACTCATCACATCCCCTTTCCCTCCATTTTTCCAAGCTTGCCCTAAATGGGGCAAAAAAACACTTTGCATATGATACTAGCAAGTAATTAATGATTATTATAACGTAAAACAAAATACCATCATGGTTCAAGAGCATCCATTGGGAAAAAAAAAATGTAATGGCAAAATGGTCATTTACTTTCATAATACAGCCCATTGAAATCAAAATTTAGGTTTGGTTATGTTTATGTCCAATATTTTTTCTTTAACATCTGGTTTAATATGAATATACATTCAATAAGACAAGAAAAAAGTAGAAATTTTTTAATTGAAATTATTATATTGCAGTCTGATCCAAAATTCCAGATTGGACTGACTTGTCAACAAGATCGTATTTTGATCTTGGTTCTTGCTTTTCATGTTTGTTTTCAACATTCACTATACAATTAATGCAAAAATCAAATGGAACTTAATAACGTGACACAAGTTAAGCATAAAGAAAAAACAAAAATTAATAATAGTCAAATGTACTAATTAGTCGGAACCTAAGAGTCGGTAAACCCAACTCTACATGATTTAATCGTTTTATTTAAAAAATTACCTAATGATCTATTTGACAGAATATTCAACTCTCCAAATAAGTGTACACATATTCGAATTTTCACTTTCCCTAATTTGTCACTATAATATTTTTGTGTGATTAAATTAGGATCAATATATTTTCAAATTATCACTTGTACTTTTATCTAATTTCATTTTATTCTTTTTACAATATTTTTATTTTTTGTTTTTTGGTTGTCACGTCATTATCTTCCACTGTACTTGTACTTTTATTTTGTGGAACGGTTTAGTACAAGTAGTAACGAGTAACTATTCTTTGAGGGTTGGAGCTCAACTCGGCCGGTTCAACCCATGAATATGCAGGGAACAATTTTTGTGTGTCCACTCTTGGTTCCTTTTAAATACACTATCCTATTCTTAGTATAATAATATACAGCAACAAATTAAAACAAACTTTATAAATCTGCTGAAATCCAAATTTTCCCTAAATCAACTTCAGTATATTAATCAATAATAATGGGCAAAACAAGCGGTAGATACAAAATCAGCAAATAAATCAAATTAAGTGGCAAAGTTTAGGTCATTAATAATATAAAACACTAGAAAGTGATAATGGAAATATTTTTGACGTAAAAAAGTAATAAAACCAATGTGCATAATCCCTCAAATTCAAATAGAATATAAATTTAAAGTGATAATAAATGTACATTACGAGATTTATTGCAACGATCAATAGTTTTATTGTTCGGTTTACATTATTCACGGTACATGATATAAAAAAATTGTGAAATTTGTCAATGAAATGCATTACAGAAGGTAATTCACATGTTAAGAAACGATGGTCAATCATTTAATTATACGAGTATTTATTGTGACCATCAATCGTTCAATTGTTAGAGTTTTGCTATGAAGGTTAATCATTCTGTACGAATTTTATTACGAAAGTCAATTATTTAACTGTATGAGTTTCATTACGATGGTTAATCGTTTTGTACGAGTTTTATTATGAAGGTCAATTATTCAACTATACGAATTTTATTATTGGATTTACATTATTCACGACACATGATATAAAGAAATCTTAAAATTTGTCATTTAAATGCATTATGAAAAGTAATTCACATACTAGGTAACGATGGTCAATCGTTTAACTACACAAATTTTAATTTTACCGATTATTTGTTCAACGGTATGAATTTTATTATGCGATTTATACTATTCGTGTCACCTGATATAAAGAAACTGTGAAATTTGTCATTAAAATTATGGGCATAACATTTGCTACGTATAAGCACAAATAATATATATAACATTACTTATATGTATAAGAAAATATTGAAAGTTGTATTGAGGTTGTGAAAATATATTTATATTATATATATTGAAGAGGGCTACAGTATATATTGTTAGAAGAGTGAGTAAACGTTTAGAAGAAGATAAAACAAAAAGGAAACAAAAGAGAATCGATGATGCGGGTGTGGAGGTGATGATGGGCTCCGTCGGTTCGAACCAATCCAAAACATCATTGCGAATCTTGCGACGGCCGAGTTCACCATCATTTGAAATTCAAACCAAATACCCATAATACCCCTTCCAGTTCCCAAATTGCCCTAACTGCAGACTATCCATCATTCACATGACGCCATCCCAAAACCCCATCATCATCATCATACTTTCTTTACTACTTACAACATTAAATCCTCGCCTATACCGGCCGCCTTCCATGCTTACACATGCATGATTGTTGTGGCAGAGAGAGAGAGAGGCATGTCTGATGTCCTATTTCTCTCTCTAGATTTCTTGACTCTTCTTGGCTTTCTCTCTCCTCCTTTTTCCACTATATATTGACTGGCCCTTTGTTTGTTCACTTTGTCCCTCGCTCCTATCCAAGCAAGTATCTTCTTTTTTACTGCTAAGAACTTACAAGCTTCCTCGGCTGCCTGCTAAAGCTTCTTCTTCTAAAAGGTGATCTTTTTTGAAAAGCTAGCAAGCTAAAGAGAGACTGTCTCTCTCCTCTCTCTCTGTTCTTGTTGTTTCTTGTTCAAGTTTTTCTTGGTTTCTTTCACCAACAAAGGTAGGCAGAGTCATGTAGGTGGGTACACCTTTTTAGGGAAGTTTGGAGCTTTGGTTCGTTATCTCTGTTCTATAGCTTACCCAACATTCTCTTTCTCTAGTAAACCCCTATATACGTACATATATATACATGTAACATATATGTACATACATATTTCTCTTCTTTTTCTTCTTCTTCTTCTTCCATTATGTGTGAAAACTTCAACTGGGTTTTACTATGTTGGGTACTCTGTAACGAGGAAGGAATATTTGTTACTTTGAATGTCTCTTTCCTTGTTAGATTCTCATATATATGATTTTCTTTGCTTTCTTTAACGGACTTTCCTTTTTTGTCTCACTAATTTTCATTCCACATTGTTGGTTTTTTTTTGTCACACTTTCGGTTCATTCCTTTGAATGAGCATGAAAAAATTGTTCTTGTGTCGAGGTCTAAGAATATATAAATGTATAGATTTATAATGTCACTACTATCTTTATTCTTGTCTTGCTTGTCAGGACAGCAGAAAGTTGCCATTTCAATGAGTGTAGATTTGGAGATTCTCATACTGTGTTCTCTCAACTTGTCTATTTAACAAACTACTCCATTGATTTGAGCACCTGCTCTGTTTTTCCTCTCATGTTCCTACTTCTTGCACACTTGCTCTGTTTATTCTATTAAACATATAAGAGGTTTGAGCAACATAAAATTCAAGAACATAGATTTCAAAATCTTTAATTTTGTTTTACATTTGGGTACTGATTTTCTTGTCTCCGTTCTTTTCTACATTTCAATTTTGAAGGTATTCTTCAATACCAAAAAATTGTCGGTGTGCTCTGCTATTTTTCTCTCTCCCTCTCTACCTCTCTCTCTCTCTTTTTTTCCCCTAATAATTTTATATGGGTCCAATGGGCTCTAAGGGTCAAAAAGTTGATATTTGCTTTAAATAGAATTATTGTATATGTGTATATAGAATGGTTGAAATTATAATTAGTTTAATTTTCAAATAAAATATGATATAATCTTGTAGAAATAGTATAGAGAGTAGTAATTGTACTTATTTGTATTTGTATTTGTATTTGTTTTTGTTTTTGTTTATAATTATTGTTGCAATAAAGAATACAGTAATATCTAAGATACCCTTTTGTTGTGTTTTTGGTTTCAGGTAGTGAAGTTGGTTTGTTGAGAAACATAATGGAAAGACTGAACTCAAAGCTGTACTTGCAGAACTGCTACATAATGCAAGAGAATGAGAGGCTTAGGAAGAAAGCACAGCTTCTCAACCAAGAGAATCAAGCACTCCTCTGTGAGCTGAAACAGAGACTCTCCACTTCCAACAACAACCAAAAGCCCAATGGGCCCAACTCTATTCCTGATCTCAATCTCTGCTCCACCTCCAACCCAAATGCTTCCAATTCCACCAAAAACTGAGAGGAAGACTAAATGGAACATCATGGCCCCACCTAGGACTCCTCTTTGCTCTTTTTGTGTAATACAATAGTTAGGAGTCAAATACTACTAGTAGTTTCTGCAGTTTCAGTTATATATATATATATATATAGAGGAGAATAGGTAGTATCTATCACCTGGTTTACCTTTTTAGATATATATATTTCCATCTTTTGTCATGTCCTCTACTTTTGGGGGTTAAAATGATGTAATTTCTGAATTACAAAGATGTATCAGGCTACCAGCTAGAAAGGAATATAATGTTTTAGTATTTAAATCTCCTCTCTCTCATGCACACATTCATAAAATTAGTCACCATGAACATGTGCTTGAAGATGTTCAATATGCAATAAGTATGTGTTACAAAATTTTACCATCTTCAATTTGGTATTAATGTCTATTGCTGAAAATAATTATATTTCTCTTTGTTCTATAATTTTACATTCCAATTGACAGAAAAGCATATCCAAATCATATAAATTGGTTAACCATGTTTAAGTATAATACTGTATTACCATCCCAAGTCCCACTCCGGCCTTTTGTTTTGATAAAAATGTAATTACTGTATTAACAAAAGTAACAATATGTAATTAACGAAAGCAAAACAAACAAGTCCTACCTATGCAATAGTTTTTTTTTTTTTTGAAAAGCTTACCTATGCAATAGTTAATTAAAAAAAAAAAAAAAAGGTTATGATGTTTTAACTGATTTTAAAGATTTTTCTTAAAGAAAAAAAATTTGTTTACTAACCAACACGGGGAGTTATTACTTTTATATCAAAAACTTTCAAATTTTCTCCGTATACAAAATCCTTTTATCTGAGGGGAAGAGAATAGAGTTTGACCAATTTGAAGTTAGATGATAGCAGTGCATCAAATCCTCCTTTATCTGGTACAAGTAATTGTGAAAAATGCTATTTTGTAAAGATATTCTTTTGAACAATTGCCTATATGTCTTATTCTTTTGTCAACTTCATATTAAGTTGTTGTATTATGGTCATGGAGGTCTTGATTTGTAATCATATTCTTTTGGCCACGTATGTATATTTTACGGAGATTTGATTCTCAAATGATGTATGAACAGTTATATTTTCATGAATTTAGACGTTGATGTTGAGTTAGATGATGTTCACGAACTTATAGTTGATGTTTATACACTTTAGGTAGCATTTGAACAAGTTTGAGAAGTGATCTTACTCTCGGGCATCATCTAACTGGTTAAATGCTCCTATCTAACCGGTTAGTTGGGCGGGGCAATGAAGGGGTTACCTGGATTTTTCCATCTAACCGGTGAGATGACCATCTGACCGATTAGATGCATCCATCTACCCCGGTTAGATGGATCTTCAGTTCTACATACTCTTTAGATGCTCTCTAGACCAAGCCATTTAATCGGTTAGATGAAATCATGTAACCGGTTAGATAAGTCAGTATTTGCACTTTGGCCTAGACTTCAATATAATTACCTAATTACCCTTGGATTTCATCATAATAATTGAATGACCCTAGTAAATAACAGTTTTATCCTTTTTGGTTCTAAACCATTATTTGACCACGGTAAATGACCATCATATCCTTATGGACTCTAGGAATATCATAATGACGTGAAATGACCATAGTACCCTTGTATGACCTCGGACTCGGACAAGGACCAGCTTAGCAATCCGGATCCCCAGATTTGGGTCGTTACAATTGCCCCCACTGTTTTTTATTTTTTTAGGATTATACCCTACTATTTTTGGCATTTGGATATATATACCTATAAAATCACACTATTGCCTCCATTGAAATTATTAAAAAATTCATAATTACCCCCTCCCATACTTATGTTTCTAGGTTCGTTCTTGGTGGTGTAAAAATAATTTTCATTGCACGAATGTAATGATCCATGAGAGCATCTGGGGTGGGAATGAAAGTAGAGTACATCAGCATAAAGTAAAGAGAGAAACGGTATGGGTGAAAGTGGAGTATCAAATAAGTGGCCCCCACCTGCTGTAATATATTGAATTGTCCACATTGGAGAATCAGATAGATAATATATATCCGTTTGATACAATATTTTAATATTTTTTGTGGTGTCTTTTGGTCTCCTTTCCTCACATACAATTTTCTTTTTTCTCTTTCCACAACATCAACTATACCCATTTCCATATACATCTCTCATTCAACTTTCTGGTTTCTTAATTTTTTGGCGTCATCTATTTTCATTCAACGGCTATTTTATCACTCAACAACTCTTCTTCACTCAACGACTCTTTTATTTTTTTAAAAAATAATTACTTTATAAATACTAATTTATATCTACTAGCAATTCTTATCTTCAACAATTATCTCTTTCAATATTTCTTTTAAAATTCATCTTCATGGATCCTCCACCTCAATTCTTTCACTCCCATCTCAACCAATCTCATAACTCCGAATTATCACCGCAATCCAATTATAATTTGGATTCTTCAAATTTTTATCAATCCAAAAATCCATCTTAACCCCAATACTCTTATTTCCCATACCCACCACATCCTCAATTCCAACCTCATTCCCAATTCCAACCTTCTCAAATCCAACCTCTCAGTTTCAATTATCTAAATCCCAACCTTCTCAAACCTAACATAATTCAAGGCGTTAGAAACATAATTGGTCCATTGAAGAGGATGAAGTATTATGCAATGCAATACCCCTAATTTTAAAAGGACAGTCCTGGAATTTAATTTATTTGTTTAGGTACATTTTTAGTGTTTAACTGTTTAATTGAATGCTATTATTTGGGTGCATTGATGAATTATTTTAATTGTTTTGTTTCATTAATTGGATTAAGTGTTGTATTAATTATATTAATTAGTTAAATACGTTAGTTGGATTTCTTGTTTAATGAATTATATGGTTGTTAAGTATTAACGTATCATTAGGGTTTTATATAGCCGACTTAGGGTTGGTGTAGAATTAAACTTAGGGTTTAATGACGCCCTATATATATTGCATTATACGTATGTTTAGGGTTACAAACAAAACCCAATTCACGTATACAGTGAGATAGAGAGACACAGAGAAGCAAAGAGTGGAAACTTGAGAGCTTGAAGAGAGGTTCAATGAGGTTGTAATGGAGTGCTTCTGGGTTGAACCAAGAGCGCCGGAGGTGTAGAACAATAGTTGACAATGTTGACAGAAAACTTAGAGACGACAGTTTCAGTTTTCTAACCGGAAATTAGAGGCAAGTCTTGTTCTTCTCTTTCCCCTTAATTCGTGTTCTTTGCATGCCTAGTTAGACTCCAGGGATTAATTAAAGACTAAAAACGGATTAAACGAACATGATATCAAATCTTGTATGCATGTATGAATTATATTAATCTCATTGAAATAAGTGATTTGCATAAACCTTGATGTTTTCTGTTATTTGTTCTTCTCGGTGGTTGCGTTTAAGCTTTGATTAAAATTGAGGTCATGATTATGTATTGATGACTTGTAATGAGTCTGGGTCTAAGATTGAACCTTGAATCAAGTTTTAAAAATAGTATTCAACTTCACTGAATAAATTTGTTTTGAATCGTTTAAGTTTTTAACTGAGATTCTGTAGTCGTTGCTTCAAAAGGTTGTGTTCAATACATGTTATGGTAAGATGTCAGTGGTTTAAGATGTACCTAGGACTGAGTTTGAACCTAGAATAAGGATTTAAAAATACCACAGAGGCTCTGTTAATCATCGGAGTTGGAGAAGAAGACGTAGAAACGGACGACGGCATCTAAGGGAGGAAGAGCAGGCTCTTCCTACTCTTAGAGCCGGCTCCCAAAGGGTGGGGAAACGGCTCTTGTAGCTCTAGAGCCGGCTCTTGGAGCCTGGAGCCGGCTCTAACTTTAAATAGAGCAGGCTCTCAAATTTTGGAGCCAGCTCTTTCCCAGTTTTTGAATACTGTAAGATTTTGGTGCGTGGTTTGGACTGTGCAGTGTTTTGGCATGTCTTCTAAACTGTACTAAATGTGTTTTGGGATTGTAATAGACTTATAAAACTATGGAAAACATTAATCTAAAATTTGATTAAATCATGGAGTAACATACAGTTAAGGAAAAACTGGTATATTTGCACATTGTTTTGCTAGTTTATGTTTCAGAACTTTGCAAGGTTTTATTATAGGATTTAATGATATATATAAATCATGTTTTACAGTGTTTTAAGTATGGTGACTTAATTAAACTCAACTATACTTAGGTCGGATTTAATTGGTACTTAAATTGTTATTAAATTGTACCAATTCATGGACTTTATTGGAGGATTTACTAGGTTTATTTACTGGAGCTTAGCAAGACTGTTATATATGATTTAACTATATATATAATCATATTTTTCATAGTATTATAAGTATAAAGAAGTAACTAAAAGTTCCTATGCTTAGCTTGGGTATAATTGATACTTAAATTTGTATTAACTGTATCAATTCATGAACTATATTGGAGGATGTAAACGCTTGAATTTAATATAGCAGTTTACATTACTGGAATTGGATTGTGGGTTCTATATTGAATGCCTGTTACATATATATGCATTAAATTTATTTTGTGTATATTCTGGAGTATAGTTGATCACTATTTAATTACTGTATTATTAACTGTGTTAACTGGAGGATTGTATGTACCGGTATGGGACGGTGATATATTAGGTATGGACTAGTTTAAACACTAAGTTCTACCTAACTTGGATTAAGGTATGGATAAATCATATAGGTTAAGTCCATCACCTACTTGTGTCATATCAATTGAGAATTGAATGACCTACTATGGTTTCAGGATGATGTTATACATATATCAGACCACTACACAAATGGATGGTATTTTGTATTAGGAGGAGTACGGACTTTATATATATATTATATGGTGTCATGGTATGAGCTTAAGTCTCATGACCATGGTTAGGGCGCGTATATCGCCTAGGATGGATAACTGGATATATGTGTTGTTCCTTGGTAGGTCTAGGTACTTATGCCCACCTTAGGGTGCGTATTTGCATGTTGCTTTCTATTCAGGCTGAGACAGACCTACTGGACTAGCAAGCGTCCTATAGTGTGTACTATATACATATATGGACTACTCTAGATATTGTTGAGGTTTTCCAGGATGTATCTGCGTATCGAATTACTGTTTGGATCGTAGTAGATCAGGACTTGCATGTGGGCCTGACCCACTCCTTTATTTTTCAAGTGCTCGGCAGTTTCAGAATTAGAGGTTGATCGTGCAGAGCAGATACAAACTTCCATTCCACAGACTACGTAGGACCACTATCTATGT